CATCAAACTTGATGAGAGCCCGCGTCTTTGCACCTGCAAATGAAGGTTCACTCTGACCCAAGTACGTTAAAGTATAAACGCCGTTAGAAAAATTGATCTCATCAACATCGCTTTCTTTCAAAAGGTCTACAACTCTTTTTGGTAACCAACATTTTAAGCTCACCTCAGTTTCTTCATCGTACAATATAACGGTGCCACTTCTACCGAATCGAGTCCCACATAACGATATTTTCCTGATTATAAAACTCTTATTCAGTGGTAGCGACGATATTAGAATTTGTTTAATAATTTCATTTTCCTCATTAATTCGACTATTGATTGCGACTAGATCAATTTTAGGAGGAGCCATTTCTATTTTTACTTGTCGAGTGAAAGAAGGAATAAAAAATATATAAATAATTGAACTTACGTAAATCTGATATCACACTTTATCGCACTTCCACTGATCTGACAAGATTGTTCAGCCAGCAGTATTTTCGGAATAACTATGCACTTGAAGATGGGGATTCTGTATTTATAGAAACTCGGACATGGAATACCCCACTACACCACCAAACATCCTTGAGAAGAGGTACAAATGCGCACGAAAATTACTCCCCCCAAGGTCACCACGACAATTGTCCGAGATGAAACCTCCGTATCCCTCCCAAGGTCACTCCCAAGGTCACTCCCAAGGTCGCTCCGAATGTCACTCCTCCAAGGCCACCCCCCAAGGTCACTCCCCCCAAGGTCACTCCCCCCAAGGTCACACACTCCTCTGGCCTTGGGGGGAGATTTGGAAATGGCCAAAGCCTTCTACTTATGATTAGGAGAATTGAAATAAACGACTTTAATACGTCGGACTCTCGACACGGGGACCCGAGATTGATTCCCACCACAGACCCAACACTTTTTTTTCAATTTAAATCTGAATATAAATTGGATCGACAATGACGTCATCATACGAATAATGTATAACATGCAGGCGACTATCTATATTTGAATTTCGCGCCATTTGCAGACTATCTAGATTTGAAGTGCGCGCCGTCGACAAAAGTAGTACAAACGTCTTATCAACCTATATATAGCTTTGCTCGCTGATCCTCGACGATCCCATTTGAATACGGTTTTCATAGTGAAACTTTCATGGCCTCCTGAATGGCTCAGTGCGTATATACGCTGCCTCATAATGCAAAGGTCCCGAGTTCGATCAGGGCCTACTCTATCTCACCGGGCCGGAGCATCGCTTTCGTGACGTCACACTAGTAGGGACAAAATCAACGCAGTGGAAATTGTCTCTCCCGTTTCATTGATTTACCTCGGGAAAACGGTCAAATATGTACAGAAAAGAATTTTCCAGAAGATGAATCAAATTTCACTGATTTACGATCATTAATATCAGAAATATGGCATATCAAAATTAATTGATTCCATTCAGAAATGTCCTTTTTCAAACAGCTACCAAAATCCCAATATTCAATTCACAGAAATGATTCAACCATGAAAATATTTCGCATAGTATCTAGATTGACTGAGTTTTTTTTTAAATTCCCAAGGGCCAACAACAAACCTATATTTCAGTTCAAGTAGAACGATGATTCAGATGTTCATTACAGAATAGTTCAAAAAGTTCGGACGCCTCCCATGCTAATCCTATCAACTATGGATATATGCTGTCACTGATTTTTTTGTAGGAAATTCGATTGCCTACAAATCGGTATGATACACATCCACTTTATCTCGAAGGGTTTTAGCAGCGTTTATCTCTAAAGATGATCAGGACGCACTTTGATGACGTTGTAAATCCTATATTACTCGAGTGTGTTACACCCAACAGAAACAATTGAAAAAATATGTATCTCAACAATGAGAGATATAAAAATGAATATAACGAACTGAATAAAAAAATTCCCAGAACAACGAAATATGGATGAATAAGGAAAAAATGGAAAAAAAAAACGTTGAATCCTTATACACAAACAAAACCAAACAAAATAAACTGTAAAAATGATCAGAATAACAAAATAAAAAAAATTGATAGATATCACAAAATAAAATACACTAATTACAAAAAATATATATACATCATCTCAATCACAAACTAAAAATTGAAATCTGAACTATATCACATCCTGAAAGTTTATTGGTTTTTTTTTTTTTTATTTTTTTTTATTTTACAATAATTGTTCAACAGAATATTTGAAATGGTTTTATAAAATGTTCTGCTGATTAAATCAAAAGATCCACAACTGCAACATTGATTCTCGGAATGATTGAGAAGGGAATTGATTTTAATTTCTGCTAAATTCTTCAAAACTTTATGTTGTGACTTACATTGTTGAAATATTGTTTCGAATTTTTCAGACACCAATATTAGTTGGTCTGAACCATACGCCATTTAGAAATGAAATGAGTAATAAAAAGTATATCGCCCTTTACCAGTCCAAGGAATTACCGCGAAATCGTAATACAGCGAAATTTGAGTAGGTAGGTATAACGGCCCATTTTTTACGCGCTCTTTATATTTGATTCCTTTCGGACTCATTGTAGGTAACTCTACAATTTTTTCACTATTCAATTGATTTATTATCGTAGTTTGATATATTGAGTTAGTTTCATCTTATTCCAATTCCAAATTTGCAAAAAATAGTATTCTGTAGTACAACGTCCTGATTTTCAATAAAATGGAATTTCGTTACAACGCCATTACTCGGTATTGATTCATCCTATTGGATTCATTTTTTCACCAAAAGTTGAGGAATTTGTTGGGGATCATCTCGTCTCGATTAAGTTTGCTTCTAAAATCTATAGTAAATGAGCTATAGCCTATCAATTACGAACGCATCAGTGCGGACTGATGTGAAATCTCAACCTACTAGTGTGACGTCAGCGTCGAGAGAGAGGGGATAGACTACGGCCCGGTGAGATAGAGTAGGCCCTGGTTCGATCCCCAGCGGTGAAGGTTTTTTTTTAATAATCAATTCCAATGATGATGTCATGACGTCACACAATTTGAATTTCGCGCTGTTCGTGGGGCCGCGAATAGCTAGCCGAGTCAAGCCGACCTGTGATTGGCTAGCCGAGTCACGTGATTTGAAGAAAAACGGAGGGGAGGGGCTGGACTGAAGTAACGGGCTTCCTACTGATGTGTTTTTCTGAAAAACTGATCATATCAATGGTAATTCATACTTGTCCAAATTTGGTAAGAATCGCACGATTGATAGCAATAATAGCTGAGATATAGAGGGGAGGGGCGTTTGAAGTGAGATATGCTGTATATAATTATATATATATATATAAGTTATATTCCCGTGAGAATCATCGACAACTACGGAAACCACACATATCACCGAAATCGGACGCCTGATAATGCAAGATCAACATATTTTCTAGAATCAGTTAGAGCCCATTACACTATATTTCTCACATTTATTCTTCAGTCTAGAATTAGAATCCCAATTGTTCAGTTGCTTTTGTATGACATAAAATAAATCTTTTTTTAAAAAGTAACTTTGACCAAAAAGTTATTTGAGTGGCGCAGTCGGTAGGATTGGTCGATCATTTGTTAGTGAATATAACAAGTAGATTCGTTTCTACGATTTATCGACCGATTCGAAAAATTCGGTACGCGTACGGCAGAAAAATCCAGTCAAGTGAACTGAGTAGCTTGGCGAGAAGAATCCGTTCGTTTCCATCAACATCAGCAGCAACCGAGAAGTACAATCCCTGTCTCTTCCGATGCCTGGCTTTGGACCGATGGAGTGAATTTGGATTTTGCTATAAGTACTGATGTCATATAGAGATTTTCAAGACCAGTATAATTCTGACAATTCTGAAAATTCTGAACATTCAAACAATTCTGATTCGGACTCAAACATCCCTAAATTCCCCTTATATCGCTCTAGATCACCAATTTCAACAGGAGATTTTCAACTGACCCAATCAATTCCCCAAAATAGCAATATTTCGTTAATTTCGAGTGCAGATCCACAAGTTTTTTTCATCGCTTGGAGCGCACGAAAGGAATTCCCTATGATGTTTAAAAAAACATCGTGCGTTCCTAGGTAGAATAGGGACAGGAGGTAGGTATTGGAATTTTTTTTGAACTTTTGGAGATTATATGTTGTTGAGAATACTTCCACAGGCAATGCATTCCAGAGCCTGGCCGTTCTATGGATGAAGGAGTCTTGATAAAGTGCTGTTCGACATCTTTCGAGGTTGACAACGAAAGGATGTACAGGGTGGGCCAAATTCGATGGGATTTGGGGTTTTCTCTGAAACTATCAGTGCTAAACAAAAACCGACCACGGTATCCTGAGCTTGATTTTCGTGAACAAAACAATGGTGCAAACCGCGATCGTCTATCTTTTTTGGCTGCCGAACTACAGAGCGTTTTTGAGATTTTACCTTTTATTGGTGACGTCATTATCTCGAACACCGTGAGTCCTGTCAAAAAATGAATAACACTTTCTCATAGCAATCTTTTGAGTTGAATTGATTACTGACAAGAGCAAAATTATTCATCAAACAGTTTTCGAGATATGAACCTAATTTAATTTTTTTAAATGGGACACCCTGTATATTATTTCACCATTCGATCATAATTTTAATCACCTTTCGAACGATATATCATATGCTATAGTTACTTCGAGAACAAGTGGTTGTTTTTCGAAAAATCTGATATGAGTCCATGAAAAACTGAAGAAAAATATACCCAGCTAACAACGGAAGTACGGCAAACTGCTGGCCCAACACATTTTGTGAAGGCTGAGTGACAATGACATTGATATTCAGGTGGCCCAGTGACTTTTCTGAATCAAAAAAATGTTAACCAAATGTCAGAAGCGGTTTTATATTGGCCATCAACTATAACCCAGCAAAAATTTCAGTTACTTTTGGGCTTTCAAATGGCCTAATATAGATACCCGCTTGATAAAAGACGCATGCGCTGTTTATGCGTGACCAGCGTGACCTTCACTCAGCACAGCACAGTTCACTTCACTGTTGCATTGCATCATTGTCGTTTGTTTTGTTTGAGTTGTATAGTCTGTGCAAAGGTGCTGTGTCTGAGGCATCTGAGGTCTGAGGTGTAAACTGTAAATGAAATAAAACGGAATAAAATGAGTCAACAGGGCGACAGTAATAACAATAAGTAAGTAAAATATTTAAATAGTTATTAGAAGGTGAGTCGTTGTCTGATGAAAAGTTCGAATTCGTGGGAATTGATGATGATTGATGTAATTTCGTGAACGAATAACAACTATAGTGCATATTAGGACGTGTCTTCATCTTATTACACTTTCTATACTACCTCAAAAATGGATTATTATTGAAATTGAAATAATTTATATTTTCCTAACCTGTGCATAACCAAGATTTCGTTCCGCCCAAGCATCCGATTCATGTAGACCAATCCAAAACGATTTGAGCAATGACGGTAATTTCGAGCACATATTTTGATAGAATCTGGTTCGAATCATTCATATTGCATAAATACATCAAGATTTCATAAAAAATTCATTCGTTGTGCAAAAGTAAAAGCCTAAATAAATGCTCAGATTCGAATATACCGCCATTTACAAAGTTGTTTTAATTGGTCTAAAGGAATCGCCTATACGATTGTTTGGGTAAAACGATTTCTTGCTATTAAAGTTCATTGTTGTGAACACTGGTTGTGAAGAGCACGCGAATTCCATCTGACCTGAAATGAAGCATGGTGGGTGCATCATGGTGTCATAAGGATGCAATGCATAGACTTGCAATGCAACAAATAATACAGGTGGTAAGAATTGCTTCTTTTTTTTTTGAAGTGATTAATCGAAAAAAAAATTGTGAAGGCATCATTTACTGTTGGGGGTCGATGGGGCCGATAGTGATCCGCTATCTCTATGATGTTTTTTTTTAGGATCGGTCGGAAATTTTCTGTAAACTTTGAACGGATTATTTGTTGAGGAATGGTTGAGACTTGTCTCTTTGCGTCCTGTCTGTAGATGCTTCATTTCAGTTCAGGTCAGATTGAATTCGTGCTAGGAAAGACTGGTGTGAACTTAAAAAATAGTAATGTTGTCCCTTATCATTGATTCCTAGAGATTCATTATGAATATTAATAAATAATAGTTCTCAATAAACCAGTAAACTGTGCCAGAAACTAGTAGTGGTTCCCTGACTGAGTGAAGGTATTCAAAATGTCGAATAATTTCAAGTTGAGAAGCAAAAGCTCCAACTACAGGCAAGTAAAAAAAGCTGTTACTTCAATGGTAAACCTTATAAACTTGGATTGTGCAGCTCAAAGGCCAAAAAATGAAATAAGAAATTGTGTAGTTGGTGAAAAATCCGAGGAAAAATCATTGGTAGATAATTCCTCAGATGATAATGACAATACAAAGGAAACACAAGACAATGCTTCTGCATCCCTTAATCATTATGGCCAAAATTATTTCAGTGACATGCCAGAGAGGGCAGAGGAAGCCTCAGAAGTCTCTCTTATAGGTTCTGAGAGTGAAATGGAATTTAATTTGTCATCATCATCTTCAAGTAGTGCAGTGGCTGATGGTGATTTTAGTGATGATTTAGGTACTAAAAAATGTTTAACAGATGAAAACATTAACATACCTCAGGACAGTAAAACATTTTTACAGACTTGGGCACTAAAATATAACATATCACATATAGCACTCACTGAAATACTTGCCTGGTTTTCAACAAATCCTGATATTTCAAACTTGCCAATTTGTGCTCGAACGCTTTTGAAAACTCCTACTAATGTTGAAATAGAAAAACAGGGTGAAGGAGATTTTTTCTATTTTGGAATTCAAGAAAATTTGATTCAGTTTGCAAACAAACTTGACAGTGGTTCAAATGAGTTTTTACTTCATTTTGGCATAGACGGATTACCAATACATAAAAGTACCAGTTTGTCATTCTGGCCAATAATTTGTAAACTTGAAAATACATCTAGTAAACCTTTGTTCCCGGTTGCTACATACTGTGGACCAAAAAAACCTCCTCTGGAAGAGTTTTTGAAAAAGTTTGTTGAGGAGTTGAATTATTTATACAATACTGGAATGTTCATCAATAACATGAAATATCATGTAAAAATTCTAAGCTTCTGTTGTGATACACCTGCCAGAGCTTTTATTAAAAACATCAAAAGCCATAATGCTTTTTATGGTTGCGATAAGTGTAACATTTCAGGAGAATACTTTGAGAAAAGAATGACATTCTTCAGTGGACAGTGGAATGCTAGAACTGATGATGATTTCAGGTGTAGGAAGAACCCAGAACACCACAAAGGTTCTACACCATTAGAAAAATTAGACATTGATATGGTGACCACCTTCCCTATAGATTATATGCATTGTGTGTGCCTGGGGATCATGAGAAAATTACTTTTTCTCTGGAGAGATGGTAGTCGGTTATTTCGCATAGTTGGTGAAAAACTGTGTAAATTAGAAACTGATATGAAAGTAATCAGTAAACTGTGGCCAGCTGATTTCAATAGAAAACCACGGTCATTACGTGATCTAGAAAGATGGAAGGCAACTGAGTTGCGTCAATTTTTACTCTATGTTGGCCCTGTAGTGCTCCAAAATGTTATTCCAGATCATGTCTATGCTAATTTCATGATATTGAATTTTGGTATCAGCATACTATTAAGTAAAGAACTGAATCAAAAATACAATGAATTTGCTGGTAAACTATTGAACATATTTGTCAAACATGCAATATCTATCTATGGTAAAGAATTTGCAGTATACAATACTCATGCTGTTACACATTTAGCTGCGGAAGCTAGATTATTTGGATCCTTGAATGCTGTTAATTGTTTCAGTTTTGAGAACTATTTACAGATGATGAAAAAGACATTACGCAAATCTAATTTACCCTTGCAGCAACTGGTAAGGAGGCTGGTTGAGAGAAAAGAAATCGATTATAATAGTGGTATTGATCAGAATGCTGCTGTTAACATAAGTGGAAATATGAAAGACATTCAAGTATTACCTATTGATGTCATCAGAAAATATGGGCACCTACCAATACATACAAAATTACAGATGAATGGTTTCATGGTTTCAAGTAAAATTGGCGACAATGTCATCATGTTGGACGATGGGTGTCTTATTGAAGCTGTATGTTTCATAAGCGTCAATGGACTGGTGAAGTTGATTGGAAAACAAATTACTATTATAGGACCATTCAGTATTTATCCTACTGATTCAGCATTATTATCACAATATGAAGTTTCGAGAAGCAATACTTGGAGGGAAGACTCTACAAAAAACATATCATGTAAAGGAATGATATTGCCACAAGGAGATAAACTTATATTCTTTCCGATTTTACATTTCCTTTAGGAAGAGCATTATTTCTATAAAATTTTCAGATTTCTATTATCTACTGGGTCTAAGGTAACTATGGTGATTTGTTGTTTAAACATCTGGACTATTTTCCTTTCTGCATTCATTTTTTCTCCCTATCAATTTTCAGAAGTCGTTTTTAGAAGATTGAAATGTAACAAGCTTTATAAAAATCATTTTATGCCTTTATTAGGGGAAAAAAGCAACTTTTGAAAATGTAGCTGATTTTCAATTATAATTCATTTCATAATATGGTTCATTGGTTGATTGACAGATTATTTATGATGAGCCAATGATCAATAAGTTAGGCTGAAAGAATGTCACATATTCAATTATGACATAGGTAGTCAAATCTTCAAAAACATTAGCTGAATGAGCATCAATCATCTCAATAATTGAGTGAAAATAGAAATACTGGTTGTACTTGTTTTTGCATATTTTCAGATTATTTTACTATAACATTTTTCAGGGAATTTCTTGTTGTGGAATTTCCCCATGAAATTAAAAACGGTGTGACCCCAATGGCAATAGTACCAAATAATTGGATAATTGTTGACAATTTGGGCAACCTTCAATGCTTATGGCCAAATCTGAAGACAAATAATGAATTTGCTAAAGCTGTATGCAATAAATTACAAATTGACAAGAAAGATTGTCAAGTTTGTGCTATCAATATCAAATACAAAACAAGTGAGTTTCATGTATTTTCGTTAATCATTAAATTGGGAGCTGTTTGTCCATTTGAATGTAGTGCAAAACTAGTTATTTTTATATCATGAAATATTTGAGATTCACTCATTTCAGATTTATATGAAAGAGCAACAGAAAAGTTGAGAGAACTCGAACAGCTCTTGTCAAGTCAGTCATCTGGACCAACATCTGACGAAGAAGAATTGAATCAAAAGAGGAAAGTAAAAAGAAATCGAAAATATATTTCTTCTTTATCAGATGATGACTCTGATACAGAAAATATTCCCAAGATACCAGATGTTCCTAGCAAGCAAAATGCACTCGACAAGAAAAGTGTCAGATCTGATATGAAGAATACTACATACAGGAGTTCTGAAGTGACTCAAAATATTGATATTTCATCAGATATTGATCCTAATTGTGATGCTGACGTCATTCCGGCAATGCCAATTTTTTTTACAAAACACTGTAGAAGTATCCAATCAAGAAGTTCTGAATCATACAGAAATTCTGAAAGACATGCTGACCAACCCTCTCCACGTCTAGTTAGAATACCATCAGCTCAACAGACTAATAATTCATCAAACTACTCAAATGTTCCAGGGAAAGTTTCATCATCAGATATTTCAGGTTCAGTTGACTTAGATTCTACTATAACTAATGAAGTGGAAGTTGAGCCTATCATTACATTCAGTCAGTTGAATAAATGTTGCCAAAAAACAGCAAGTAAGTTTCTTGCAACTATTTTATGAATATCCAATTGATTTGATTATTGATTTAACAGCTTGAAAAATTCAAAAACTACAATTCCATGTTTAATGTATCTGTACTTCTTTCTTTATTCAAGTGGTTAAAAAACAAACTGAAAATATATTCCATGATAATCGAACTAATTTTTATATTTTGTGTAGCAATGGTTATGAAACTAATTACAAAGGTAGAAATAATGTCCAAGGATTTACAATATATCACCTACATGCTGGAAAAGATGAACCATGAACCAACTAAAATGGATTCAGACAATCCCTATCTGAAGGATTTACCTGCCATGGAATATGGTCATTTGAAAGAATTCAATGATGTACTAGAAGGAGAAGAAGTATTCATGAATATAGTAAGTCCGAGGGGAAGACCGACGTCAAAAGGGTATACACCAAGCTTCAGTTTCACAAGAAATTTCAAGAAATTTCATGGGATTCCAAAGAATTCCTAGGAATTCTGAAGAATTTCAGTTGTTTACCATATTCAAAATTCAAATTATTGCAAGAAATACCAGTAGTTTGTACAGGGTGATTCACCATAAATGTCCCCCCCTCTAGCTCACTTATTTATGAACCGTTTCAAGAATTTGAAGGATAATCTAAAATGATTTTTCTTAAATTTTTTTCCCGCTGCATCAGAAAATACAGGGTGCTCGGAACAAACGATCTACAGAGTACTAATTGATTTTTTTAAATAGAACACCCTGTATTTTATTGTATTTTTAGATTCTTCCTGAAGAGCTGATTTCGTCAATGTATCACACTTGGGGTTTAGCGGGAATGATTACAGAGATATAGGGTGTTCAAAATCGAGATTATTCAACTTTAGGATTTTTTTGTGCCGAAACTATTCATTATTGGTCAAAACGGCTTTTATGTTTCCATCCCAACTTTCGATTTACTATCTAGTGAAATTTAATTGGAACATTTACAGGGTGGTTCAAGATTCAGAATTCTGGTCACCCTGTATCTGTTCCAATTATCAAATGTCAGTAGATAGTTAATAAAAAGTTAAGATACGGACATGAGAACCGCGTGACCGATAATGAATAGTTTCGTCACAAAAAAAATCCTAAAGTTAAAAATCTCGATTTTGAACACCCTATATCTCTGTAATCAGTCCCGCTAGACCCGAAGTGTGATACATATATCAAATCAGCTCTTCAGGGAGAATCTAAAAATACAATGAAAAATAGGGTGTTCCATTTAAAAAAATCAAGTAGTACCCTGTAGATCGTTTGTTCCGAGCACCCTGTATTTTCTGATCTAGCGAAAAAAAAACTTTATCGAAAATCATTCAAGATGATATTCCAAATTTTAAAATCGGTTCAAAAATAACTGAGCTAGAGGGGGGGACATTTATGGTGAATCACCCTGTACACTAGAATTCCACCGCTGATGTTTACTCCTTGCAAATATAAATGTTGTGAATTGATCATATATTTACATAATATTCACATTTTAGTGTGCTCAGTATAGTGGTATAGGAGGTAGAGATTTAGGTGATTGTACAAGGAGGCTATTGAATAAAATCCTCTCACATCGCTTGACACTCGAAATGAATTGGTCAGGAAGAAATGAAAAGAAGTGTTTCAAAGAACATGTCAATATTCGGAAGCTAATTTTAGGTGAGTACTATGAGTAGATATGAGAATATTTGAATCAAGAATAAACAGAAGTTATCAAAAATCACACTGTTCTGTGAGTCTTGGTGTAAATATACAATACTAGATGGCATGCTTGAATTTTGACCTGGTCATTAATTTTTTAATTACCTACATTATTCGTTCAACAGTGTCTGGGAGGGGCGGGGGGGGGGGGGGGGAGTGTACCACGAAGTATACCTTACCTGTTCAGTTAATCCAATATGTGTTGTATTTTAGCTGTTGTCAGAAAATACTTCAAAAATGCAACAGAAACTGAAACTGAGCAGATAATTAAACAATGGCTAAGATCTGCAGGAGATAGGGAAGGCGGAAGAGATAGAAGAAGGAAAGAGCATTCAAATTAAGAATCAGTTACTTTTTGTATGTTGAGTCGTTCATTTATTTGTGTTTTTTCTCAAAAGTTTATTTGAGAATGGATTTGGTGTCCATTTCCATATTAAATCATTTGATGTATTCAAATTAGGATTCGGTTACTTTTCTTGTATGTTGTTCGTTCATTTATTTGTAATTTTTCAATAGCTCATTTGAGAATGGATCTGGTGTCCATTTCCATATTAAATCATTGGAGTCAATTTCCATATTGTTTTAATTATTTCATCCTTTCCTTGTGCTACATATGCCTTCCTCATATATTTTTTGAGACTTAAATTTTAGCTGGTCATTCAACATGGTTGGTCCTTCCGTGACAAATTTCATCAGTATAATAATTCGAAAAAAATAAGTCATGCAAGGTGATCTATTGGTATGATTTTTTTTAATTATGAACAAATTTTTGAACTGTATCTGATATCCTTTTTTAGAATGGCATGCGCCGTTTTATGAAAGCTAGTGCTGGCTAGAGTTCTTCAATTTATTCACTTGACACTTTTGTTTTGACGTAATATACGAAAAACCTCAAAATAAAAGTGTCAAATACATTAAGGAACTCTAGTGTTGGCCATCTTATTCAGGGTGACAGTGGCCCACTATTTCAGGCCACTATTGGGCTACTGTTCATATAATTGAGGCCAATCAATGGGCAACTGACATTCAATTGGATGAACAATTTTGCCACTGTTGGGCTTCTGATGGCCTTCGTCATTATACTGATGGGATAGTGCCGTTGGTCGGCTGTTGGCCGTAGTAGCGTTATTTTGCGGGTCCAATAACATTCTCCGATGATTGGCCATCACTTCTATTAACTGAATAATTGTACAAGGCCTTTGCTCTGCCGGACTTGAATGTTAGCTGGGTAATAACTAACTAGCTTTATCAAATTCACAAATATTCACGTTTATTTGATAATTATCATTCGAAACTGTGAGAAAGTTCGAAATATTCAGTTCAACTGAGGTGCGAATTGTTTCCTATTGTCGTCTTCCAATTGCATTTCATTATGTTCCTTATACTTCTCAAGAAGGCGATGGAGAAATGACAACCATAATCCATTAATTATTATATATTGTCAACTGTGACGCTTATTCACAAAAAATTGTTCAATTTAGTAATGAAGAGAAATATGATATGCTCAAGTGTTTTATCGAAAGTGGAGAAGATGAAAACTTAGCTTCTGAACTTTTTTTCAATAGGTAAGTGATAGAATAATCGACAGTGAAACGGTTGTCCAAAATTAACAGTCAAATCATCTTATAGATACCCAGAGAAAATACAACCAAACCCAAAAATATTCAAAAGGTTACAGTCAAATTTGAAAGATTTTGGATTTTTTGTCAAACCTCGCCCAAAAATTTATTATAAACCAGAAAGAGAAGCTGCACAAAATATAATAGAAACTGTCAGAGATAATGCTAATATATCATCCCGCGAAATAGGAGAAAATTTAGGGATGCCAAAAACAACTGTGTTACGTTGCCTACGGAAGAATAAATTCAAACCGTACCGAATTAGAATCACCCACCACTTGTTCCCAAACGATTTTCAAAGACGTTTAGATTTTTGCCACTGGTTTTTACACAAGTGCAATGAATCGCCAGGTTTTGAAGGAACTGTCATATGGACGGACGAGACCCATATAAGCAGTGCCGGAATCTTCAACAGACTAACAGACATAATAACCATCATTGGGCTCAAGAAAATCCCTATGCTACTGCTACGGTCAATCGTCAAGGACGATTTGGATTTGGTGTATGGTGCGGTTTAATGGGACACCAAGTAATAGGCCCATATTTTTACCGCGGTAACTTGAATTCCGAAACATATATTCAAATTCTACGACAAGAAGTTGAAACATATATAGATAATTTACCTGTGAGACAATTCCAAAGAATATATTTTCAACATGATGGGACGCCAAGCCATACATCATGTGATACTAGGAATTATTTGAATGTTCAATTTGGAGAAAATTGGATAGGTATGTTACTCAGAACTATTGTAAAACGCATATATATATTTCGATCATGATAGCATTGAAAGTTTCTTCTAAATTATTTAATGCACCAAAGTAGACGTTAGAATAATTAGCTCATTCAAATATTATTTTATTTGTAGGAAACAATGGTCCTATTTTGTGGCCAGCAAGATCTCCTGATATCACTCCTTGCGATTTCTGGCTTTGGGGTCATTTGCAGAATATGATATATAGAGAACAATCTAATAACATCGAGGAATTGGAAAACAGAACGTTAGCTGCGTTTCGAAAAATAACTCCTATAATGATAAGAAATGCCACGAATGCGCTCAAAAGGAGATGTCAGAAGTGCATAGATGTCAATGGAAGACAATTTGAAAATTTATTTCAATGATTCTTTTCAAGTTTTTTTCATATTCTTATAATAATACTTACTTGATAAAATTATTATCGATCTACTCCCTGAATATAAAGATTTTCGAAAAACAACCACTTGTTCTCAAAGTAACTATAGCATATGATATATCGTTCGAAAGGTAATTGAAATTATGATCGAATGGTGAAATAATTTACAGGGTGTCCCATTTAAAAAAATTAAATTGAGTTCATATCTCGAAAACTGTTCGATGAATAATTTTGCTCTCATCAGCAATCAATTCATCTCAAAAGATTGCTATGAGAAAGTGTTATTCATTTTTTGACAGGACTCACGGTGTTCGAGATAATGACGTCACCAATAAAAGGTAAAATCTCGAAAACGCTCTGTAGTTCGGCAGCCAAAAAAGATAGACAATCGCGGTTTGCGCCATTGTTTTTTCCACGAAAATCAAGCTCAGGACACCGTGGTCGGTTTTTGTTTAGCACTGATAGTTTCAGAGAAAACCCCAAATCCCATCGAATTTGGCCCACCCTGTACTGACTGGGCTTGTCTAGTTCGTCTGATTGGTATTGCGAGATTTCCGAAGAACATTTCCCGTGGAAGTATCGATAGAAAAGTGGAAGGTCGCCGACCTTTCTACGGTGTTCCAATAATGTCAAAGAGTGAGTGAGTGTGGCGTCACCCACCAGGCGAATGGCTCTTCTCTGGATGGAATCTAAGAGCATCAGCGTATGTTTTGGTGCTGAACCCCATATGTGGGAACAGTATTCTGGAACAGGCCGTATCTGCGCTCTGTAGATCATGAGAAGCTGTTGAAGTGTAAAGTAGCTTTTCGCACGGAACAAGAATCTGAGTTTTTGTGAAGCAGCTTTTGCGATGGATCTGACATGATTATCCAATGAAAGAGTGTTGCTGATGGAAATACCGAGCATAGATATGGTGGGCTTGGTGGAGATGGTGGAGCCAGACATTACAATATCGGGCATACTGAGTTCCGCCTTTCTAGAGAAAATGCAGGCTTGAGTTTTGGTGGCGTTGAATTCAACTAGGTTGTTTGTTCCCCAGGCTGTGATTACAGCAAGATCTTCATTGACAGCATTGACCTGCCTGCTCCGTGAGTTCTTAGTTTCCTGGGAAGAAATGAGAATTCCGGAAGAGAACGCAGTATGGAGGGTACTATCATCTGCAAAGCTGTGGATGGGGCAAGTTGTTACTCCCAACAGATCATTGATATGGAGCAGGAATAATGTTGGTGCCAAAATTGATCCTTGTGGAACGCCAGAATTGATGCCAATGGTATCAGACGATACACCGTCCACCACCGCTTCACGTGGGAGAAAACTCGATAAGAGATGGCATAGCTGAGGTGGTAAGCCGTATGATGGTAGTTTGTGGAGGAGTGTTTCGTACCAAACACGGTCGAATGCTTTTGATATGCCCAACGCGACAGCTAGAGATTCCCCGTGTTTTTCTATCGAAGCTTGCCATAAATGGGTGGCGTGGGCAAGTAGATCTCCAGTAGATCGTCGGTGGCGAAAGCCGTATTGTCTATCATTGATGATTCCTGAGCTCCTCAGATATTTGATAAGCTCAATATTGATGGCTTTCTCCATCACTTTGGAGATAACTGATAACAGGCCAATGGGCCTGTAGTTGTTGGGCAGGTTCTTGTTCCCTTTTTTGGGGATTGGTTGGACTCTAGCTGTCTTCCAGCATGATGGAAAAATACCCGACCTGTACGAGATGGTAAACAACTTGCAGAGAATCGGTGTTAATTCTGGTGCACATTTCTTGAGGATAATGGGTGGAATTCCATCAGGACCGTTAGCCTTATTCGTTTTGAGACCAAGCAAAATTCGTCTGATAGTGCGTTGACGGAAGACGATTTCGGGCGGAATGTCTGGCGGCACTTTTCCTTGGGAATCTAAAGTAGAGTTTGCTGCTAACATCTCTGCAAAAATATTTGCTTTCTCCTGCGATGTTGTTGCTAATGTGCCGTCGGATTTGGACAGTGGTGGAAATGAACTATTAGTGAAATTTCTTTCGACCGCTTAAGCAAGGGACCAAAACGAACGGGAGCCATTGGGGCAATCTATGAGTTTCGATCTTATCTTGGCATTGTATGTTTCTTTCGAAGCATCTATTGTTTGGCTGCAGTTATTCCTGGCATCAACGTATTCTGCTCTAGTCGCGAGGTTAGGGTTTTCGCGCCAGCGATGGTAGGCTGTTTGTTTCAAGGCAACAGTTCTAGAACAGTTTTTGTTGAACTAGGGTTTCGAAGGTGATGATCTTTTCGAAAAATGGGGTATGTATGTGTCCATTCCGAGCATGATGATCTCGGATATTTCCGCAGCACACTGTGAAGGGTCCTCAGAGTCAAAGCATACTCTATGCCAATGAAACTTGGAGAAAAACATGCGGAGACCGTCCCAATCTCCTGAATTGTAATGCCATATAAGACGTGGGGGTGCCGGAGCAGTTGATGGAATGAAAAATGGGCAGTTTGTGGAGATGAGTGTGTGGTCAGAATTGCCAAGTGGAGCTCGTACATCTATGGTGTAGGGTGCTGAATTATTAGTGAGGAATAAGTCAAGTATGTTAGCTGAATGGTTATTGCGGCATCGGGAGTACATGCAATGGCTGTCTTGAAACAAGAATATTTCAACATGATTCTTGATTTCCACGGTGAAATGGAATTATTGGCGAGATTTATAGAAATCTCAGAAAAACTAGTAAATAAGTTTTATAATGTTGCGGATATGAACGATTTTCATAATGAATATCTGATGTCCAGTAACCCAGCAAAAATAAAAGGCGATGCTGCTACGAAA